TATTCTAATTCTATTCTTATTGTACCCTATGACTATCATTAAGTGTTGTACCTTATGATTCTTGATGAATACATCTTTGATGTACACTGCGAGCATTTGCAGCAAGACAAATTCCTTGTGTGTCCAATCACACTTGGCCAATAAAAAAGAATTCAATTCAATTCAATTCAATTCAATTCTATTCTATTCTATACTATTCCATTCCATTCCATTCCATTCTTTAATTCTATTCCACTATATTCTATTCTATTCTAGTATTTAATTCTATTCTGTTCTGTTCTATTCTACTCTATTCTTCATTCCTATCCTATCCCATCCCATCCCATTCTTTAATTCTATTCCACTCTATTCTATAGAAATAAAATAAACAAATAAATAAACCTACCCCTGCCGGTCTAAAAATCTGAAGGCTTCTCTCTTGGCTCCGGGATAATTTATAATTTTACAGCATCGGTGCCAACAGCTGCAGAAGCTGCCAAAGGATAAGTCCTCTCTACCTGCTTCACCAGGCAACTGCAGGCAGTCCTCCACTTACAACGCTTTGTTTAGAGATCTTTCAGAGTTATGACAGCATTGGGAGGAGGAAGTGACTTGTGGCCGTTTTTCACCCAGACGGACGTTGCAGTGTCCCCATGGTCACATGATCAAAGAATGTTTTTTATTGGGAATTATATAAAAAAAAAACATAATAAGGAAGAGTTGTACTGGATAAGACATGTCATCATTGCGGCAAGAATGGTATTTTCCCAGAAGTGGAAGGAGAAAGAAATCCCTAGTGAAGATGAAGCAATAAACAAAATTCTGGTATGCGCTGAAATGGAAAGGCTAACCGTAGAGATGAAAAATAAGGATCAGTTGGAATATTACATAATTTGGAATAGATTTTATCATTAGTGGGGTCCGAAAGGAAAGATCTAAGATGGAAATGAGTTGTTGAGAGGATATCTGAAACTGTGATGACCCGGAGTATAACACAAACGTAACAACATACAAAACATACATAAATGTCCTTTAATACCTCCAACTTGGCCCCACTGTTCAATAATTCTCAGTTGGAGATAAAACATACTCAAAAATAGTCTTCAAAAGAAAGCAATACAGTCCGAATTTAATGAGCAGATAAAGGCAAAATAAAAAAAACCAAACAAACTACAATGAAGGAATTTCCACAACTTGGACCAGGAGAAGTAATTACCAACTTCAAGGAGATAACAAGGAAGTCTGTTGGAAGGACGCCAACCAAGATAACTTCAGCCCAGAATAAAACACGCTTTGCTTCTGGCAACGCTGTGTTTTAACCATCTCTCTTATATACTATTCTCCCTAGCTGCAATCAGTGAGGGGGATCATGGCCACTTCCTCTCTCATAAGCCAAGTTGTTTCCTTCTCCGTTCCTCTCTGCATGTCCTAGGATGGAGAGGGGATGGGCCTGGTTCTTCCTCTGACTGCTCAGCCGGCCTCTGCCCTTCCCCAGCCTCCTCCACAACCTCTGGAGCCACACTCCCACTCCCTGTTGGCTGCTCCTCCTCTCCCTCAGAGTCCAACTCTACCAAGGGCATGAGACTAAAATAACACTAAGGGTGTTGGAGGATGTAATTAAAGATGAATAAATGTGTATTTCTCTATATATTTGTTTTCGTAGGTTTGTTTCCGTAGATTTTCACGGGTATAGGTATGTAGGTCTAGGTGTGTTCAGGTCTCTTCCCGTGTAAGATTAAGAGTATCTTGGTGACGTTAAGAGTATCTTGGAGACATATATATATATACATACAAATGTATATAAGATCTATATTGTATTACACTAGAATGATGACCAAAAGTTATGTCAGAAGGACTCCACCACGTTCAATGTTTTTAAAGGTTATGTTTAATAAAAAAAATTTAAAAAAGAAAGAAAATAAAAATACGTAGACATTATTGAGTTCAAATAGAGCTTTAAAAAAATCAAAAGAGTAAGTATTCCTACCTATGCGAAGTAGAAATAATTTTGTCTTTGTCTTGGGCTTTGTGAGTTATCACAAGGAAGCACCCAACCAAAGTAAAAGCATAGACAACCATAAAGAATTCCTTTTTATGATAAAAGTGGCCTGCATGTGAGCATTTCAGCTACATCAAAGCTTTCCCTCTCCTGAAGATTGGTTTTGGGTGTTGTTGTTTTTTAACAATCAAGGAGACTGGATTGATTTTTTTAAAAATCCATTTTTAGTTCAAACACAGATGAGTTTGAAAGACAGATGGGCAGGCTGTTCAAAGACATCTCAGCTGACTTCACAACCTTTCACGCTTCCATGGGACTTAAAATTGACCTGATTGTGGCAATGTTTCTTTCAAGGACAATCTTGACACCTGGATCCTAAGAAGGAACAGGACATCTGCGTCTTTGAATAGGACCATTTCGAAATTCTGAGGCCGTCAGCTGGATTGGAAAATCGAAAACCATCCCAGAACAGAGAGCAACGGAAAGCAACTTCCATGTTGTTGTTGGGGGAAAAAAAAAAAAACTCATATAGATCAGGTCACCGAGCCTGTTGGATTTTATGGGCGTGGTTTCTAATTCCAGCATATAGAACAAGTAGTCAAATGTTTATTTCCCTTTATTTCCCGCTAAACACCACTTACCCCTCTTATGCATAAAAATGAAGAGATCGTCCAGGAATTTCTTCCGTTCGGGGTCACTATCCAATTCATACAACTGTGGAAAGGAAGCAGGCACAATTTTAACCTAGCTTGAAAGTGCAGACAAGGAAACGAGATTTCACAGGCATATTCAAGCGAGCGGAAAACCACAATTCATCTCAGATTGGAAGTCTCCCCCAGCCCGCACCCCAAAAAAGCAAAACAACAACAGCACAAAAAGACTTGTGTTGCTTCTGTTCAATGCAGCCTTGGGGGAAAAAAATAAAAAATAAAAATAAAACCAGGTTGGTGACGCAGGCAGCTTGCATTCCGGTCACTGATTAGATGGATCTGGAAACGCAAGTCCTCGGAGGCTAATGTTGTGGCAGGTATCAATTTTCTAAAATGGATGTGAGGATTGGAGGAGGAGGAGGAGGAGGAGGTGGCTGGAAAGAAAACAAATGGCTTAATCTAAGTGTTTCGCAACCTTGGCCATTTTAAAATGCGCGGACCTCAACTCCCAGAATTCCCCGGGAGTTGAAGTCCGCGCATTTTAAAATGGCCAAGATGGAGAAACACTTTCCTAAACAATCTTGAGACAAACCTTTCAAGGACTAAGGGCTATTCAGATCAATGGCCTCTCCGCCACAAAGCTTCGTTTTACGACATCGATCCCTGTGGATTGGAAGCCCGGATTATGATGAAGAGGTACTAAAAATTACAACCCCCAAGACATCTAGGTAAGGGATGATCGGGCAGTCAAGCCAGATCAAGAAAACTACAAGAAGCTGATTTGGAAAGGAATGCAAACCTCCTCTTAACAAACTTCACTTTCCTTTTAGAATGGTTTAGGTTGCAGAGTCAGCCCAAGCAAGTTTTCGTCAACAGCAAGGTTTCTCTAGCCGAAAACAGCTCAAGCCGCCATTTCCACCCCAGATGCAAATCAAGAATCAAGGCTTAGGTTGTTGCACCGACCTTGGCAAAGTCGCGGGACACTTCTTTCCCTCTGCTACTGTCGGCTTCTTCGCTCCAAGTTAAGTTCCCGTTCTGAAGAGGGAGAAAACCAAAAGGAGACAGGAATTAAACAAAAAAAAGCAGGTCTCTGTGGAGGTTCCATCCTTGCAAGGTGGCTAAAATGAGGACCCAGATTGTTGGGCGCAACAAACTGCTTAGACAGGGCTGGAAAAAGAATTATAAAACAGTATAAACAACAGTATAAACAAGTCTAAAGTGCTACTGCTATTTTTTCCTTCCTTCCTTCCAGAATACAGTATTGCAAGCAAACTCTGCCCACTGCCCTCAGTTCAATCCTGACCGGCTCTAGGTTAACTCAGCCTTCCCTCCTTCTGAGGTCGGTAAAATGAGGACCCTGATTGTTGGGGCCAAGATGCTAATTCTGTAAACCACTTAAGAGAGGGCTGCAAACCACTGTGAAGCGGTATATAAGTCTAAGTGCTGTTCCTATTCTCAACCATCCAGGTCATGGCTGTCTCCCAAAGGTGTTTTCCAAAAGGCAACTAGACTTTTTTGGGTCGTTCCCCCACGCCCCCGGTGAAAATGTTTTGCTTCTCGTCCAAGAAGCTTCTTCAGTTCTAACTGAATTCTGACCATTAGGTCGGAACTGAAGAGGCTTCTGGGATGAGAAGCTAAAGAAGTCCACTTGCCTTTTGAAGAAGCACCTTCGGGACAAAAGAATCGAAGTTGAACACAGAGTCCCCTGTTACGGAACATGAATCCTGGATTTCACGGGCTTAAGGCAGGGGTGGAGAACGATGGACCTTTTGTGACTTGTGGATTTCAACTCCCAGAATTCTGTGCTGGCTCAGGAATTCTGGGAGTTGAAGTCCACAAGCCATAAAGGCGCCATGTTTCCCACCTCTGGTTTAACACAATGGCTTTCCATTTTTTCTTCAGCACGGGCCCCCTTTAAAATACTTTTTGTGGCCAGAGACCAAGGCCACAGACCCCCCCCAAGGCTCAACATTTTTTCAAGCCTTCCTGGCCCCCCTCATGACATCATGCCCCCCCCCCCAAGGGTCCATGGACCGCAGGTTGAGAACTACTGATTTAAGAGTTTCTACTCTCCCAGGGATTTCTATCCCAGCCCAAGCAGCGGGTCATACCAGAAGGCTGCAGAAGATGACTATCTAATGATCTATTATCATAATCTAAATAATAATTAATTATCTAAAGAGTATCTTTCTAATGATTGTGGGAATGGAAGGAGGGCTACTGCAGCTACCCCAAATGCAAACATTGCGATGCAAAAATGCCCGGGCAACAGTCAAAAAAGGCGACACTGATAAGGTCAAATGCCAGGGGATATATGTGTGTGTGTGTGTGTGTTTGTGTGTGTGTGTGTGTGAGAGAGAGAGACCTACCATCTGGTGGTAGGCACACAGGATCTTAAAAATCAGAATGAAAAGCCGCTGAATTCAGGGAGAGATCTGCAAACGAAAAGTTTTTTTTTTTAAAAAAAAATTAAAGCCACTTTAATGCCTATAGTTTAGCGTCATCTGGCACTGACACACACATGGAATTACCAAGTTGAATAGCTCGGAGACGGGTGGTATGACACACACACACACACACACAACCAATCTTTTGAATGGCACAGGTTGCCTTTTCAAGCCTGTTGGTTTTATTTGAGCCAGCAATGCGGGGCTGAAAAGTCAATTATCCAGGGAGGCCCATCAGCCCAGATATATTTAATGGAGGATTATGGCTTGCTTCTGTTATGTCAGCTGTTTGTTACAGCTGTTGCCTCTCTCCTGAGCCAACTTCAAAAAGAGCTACAGATGCCAATCTTGCCTGGACAAGCAGGAGTGATAAAAGGTTCTCCGCGCAAGCCAAATTGGACGCTCACAATACCGCCCAACCGACTTCCCCAAATGCAAGTTAGCATCCCGAGAGGAGCACAATTGGTCCTTGACTTAGGACAGTTGGTTTAGGGAGAGTTTGAAGTTACGATGATGCTGAAAAAAAAAAAAGTGACTTAGTTGTTGGGGTTTGCCGGAAGTCTGTTCTGAACCCAAACCTGTTTCCAAGGAAGCAAGCGCGAGACAAAGGTAACAGCACAACCTTTGAATGTTGCTTTATGAATCCCATTCCTTCATGGGTAAAAGGCTGCTTCAAAACAATTAGCTCCGATTAGGAAGAGCCTCTGGAGCCTGGCAGCAGCGAGGAAGAGGACCCAAGGGAGCCTGTTCCCAGTGTGCGTATGCACAGAGCTGCTAGAAGGCGAGAGCAGCTGAGACAAAAGGGGCGACTCGGGAGGTGATTGCCCCTCCCATTAAGGAATAAAGGACAGGCAAAGATGATGAAAACTTTGCGGGAAGCAAAGTCGTTCATTCAGTTCAGATTTAATTCTTGAAGCTCTTTGTACTTCGGTTGGTTTTTTTTTCTAGTTCATTTGACACTTCTGTTATTGGCAGCGCTTCACAGGAAAGAAAGGTGGGTGCTTATCTTGAGGAACTGTTTGAGATTGATTACCGGCTGGGAATGAAAAATAATTCCCAGCGTTGCAATAAAATAAGACTTGTTTTTTTAAAATATGCGTGTGCGTAGTCTCGGAAGCCTTGGTCAGAACACTAAGGGGCGTTTTTCAGACTTACGACTGTTGCAGCATCCCCATGGTCACGTGGTCAAAATTCAGGTGCTTGCCAACTGACTCATTTTTACGACGGTTGCTGTGTCCTGGGGATCATGTGATCCTCTTTTGCGACCTGCTAATAAGCAAAGTCAATGGGGAAGCCAGATTCACTTAACAATTGCAGTGGCAAGAAAGGTTCTAAAATGGGGCGAAGCTCACTTAACAACTATCTTGCTTAGCAATGGAAATCTGTGGTCATAAGTGGAGGACTACCTGAATAGATCCGCTCCCACCAGCCACCTGATCGTTGAAAGCTAGCTATGAGGTACAGAACAATGGAATAAGTTGCATCATTTGGAACTGGGATAGAATTAAAAGGAACATTTTCTTCCTTCATTAAGACAAAATGAATTCTTCCCTTATGAAACCCCTCATTTCGTGATTTAATTTTTCCTATTTAAAAACCCCACAATATTAACATGTACATTTCTGGGACTGTTTTTTTTTTTAAATGCACCCAAGACACGGGAAAATATTTATCTTTTATTGTGTATAATAGCTTGCAACCGGTGCACTTATTAAAGCAGCAAATTTCAAATGTTTATGATTAGGAAATAAACACCGGTTGCTGTTGATATCTTAAAACAGGGCAAAAACATTTCTCCAGTGACCAGACTTCCTAAGAGAAAAATCAGCTCTGCCTTTATCTTCAAGGAAGTGGCTATGCCTAGCATGTTGTGTGTGTGTGTGTGTGTAAAAAAAACCAAAACAACGATCAATTTTTACAATGTTCCTCTTTGCCACGGCAAATGAATAGGCTTTGCGCTGTGGGACAAAAAATGGGAATTGTCTAGTCAGTAATTCCGAATAATTGTTTCAAGGCTTTACTGCATTTATTTTCAAATAGCTTTAAGCGTGACCACAACCAGTTAGGAGTTGTTTTGTTAATAACAGAGGGTTTTCTTAAGAGACCTTGGAAGTCTTCTAGTCCAACCCTCTTTGGCTCAAGGAGGAGAACCTATACCATTCTGGATAAATGGCTGTCCAATCTCTTCTTGAAAGAGATCTATAAATGGCAATGCAGAGGGAACGTTTAGTCAAAACTGCCGATTTAAACCAAATCAGCCTATTTTTTTTAATGATGGTGGAAATTCCAATACAGTAAAGAATTACAGCATTTCCTCTTCTCCAGAGCTGGCAGAAGAATTAATTTACATCCCCTTAGCATCAGTCAGTGATGAACATTTCTTTCCTGCACAGCTTTTTTTTAAAAAATATTTATTCTAGCTGTTTTATTCCTTCCTTAAACAACCAAACCAAACCAAACAAGTTTTGTTGGAATTCCTTTTCTGTCCCCCCGCCCCCCTTTCTATCCCTTGGTGGTCTTTAGACCAGGGGTATCCAACCTGGGTCGTTTAAAGACTTGTAGACTTCAACTCTCAGCATTCACACTGGCTGGGGAATTCTGGGAGTGGAAGTCCACAGGTCTCAAAGCTGCCAAGGCTGGAGACCAATGCCATAGACCAGAGGTCTCCAAACTTGGTAACTTTTAAGACTTGTGGACTTCCAACTCCCAGAATTCCCCAGCCAGCATGAATTCTGGGAGTGGAAGTCCACAGGTCTTTAAAGTTGCCAAGTTTGGGAGCTCCTGCCGTAGACCATTGGCCCCCAATCTTCTGGGCGCCAGGGACCGGTTCCGTGGAGAGGGGGGTTTCACACACCACCTGTGCCTTGCATGCGCTTCGCTCATTTGCGTGGCCCGGTTCCTGGCGTGTTGCGGACCGGTGCCGATCCTCCACCTGCTGTAGACTTTTACTATTTACTGTAGACAAGCTGTTCGTCGTAGGCTTCCTGGGATTTTGAACGGACACCCCAACACAGACTATATATTTATTGTATGGCGTCTCTGATGGAAACTGGATAGAATTCATTCATGCATGTGAGGGCAGGCAAACGCTCTTTAAAAGGACAGACGACTCCAAATAAGGATTTGGAAGTAGTGTTGTTCTACAGCGGAGGGGAATTAAATCCTTCAGGCATCTCCTAAGCTGCTGGCAACATCCCCCTTCCAACTAGCACCTTTCAGTTAACTATCCCAGCATGCCGGCCCCTCCTTCCCCAGAGCAGGCCAGCCCGATTTTACAGAAGCAATTAAGAGAGGCAGCTATTTTAGGATTACTCTCAAGCCACCTGGAGTATCTTATTAGAGTGGAATTCAGAGGTCCAAAAACAATTGCACTCTCTCTCTCTCTCTCTCTTTCTCTCTCCCCCTCTGGCCTCCGTTTGCAAAAAGCCTGTGAAAAACCTTTCCTTGAGGGCAGCACTAGAAATTCCTAACGTGATTGTGAGCCCCCTGCCACTCCTCCTCCGATGATTTTGGAATTTGACAAAAGGAAAAACAGCCACCGCCACCTGCCAATCATTTTGAAGGCCTGCGCTTGGAGAAGAGGATGTT